TGCCCCTCAGACATTTCAGGAATGGGTCTTCCTTCCCTCCCAGTGGCTGCTGTGGGGCATCCCACAATGATCTCACATCTCATCTTTGCCTCCTCACTAAGGTGTTACTGCTGAGCCTGCCTCAGGGCCAGAAGGTGCCCTCACCCAGACACCTCGACGCCTTCATGTGGAGCAGGTTGACCATGGGCCCCACCAACTCCCCAGGGTGCCCCAGAAGTTCTGGGAGGGAGGGCTTCTCTGCTGGAGGCAGGTGTGGGGAGGGCCAGCAGACAAACAGGAAGTGCCTCTGAGGGACTTCAGGGCCCACTGGGAGGCGGGGTGAGCGCCCTGCCCACTCCTTGCAGTCTCTCAGTGGCTAAGGGAGGGCCTTGTCCTCATCATATATGGGTGTGTGTATGCATATACATATGTATACACTTATAATGGAAACATACAATTTATAACTTACATATTCTATATACAAAATATAAATCTATGTAAAGGTATATTTTTACATAATATATGTGATATGTATATTTGTGTGTTAGGCTGTTCTTACGTTGCTATGAAGGAATACTTGAGACTGGGGCATTGATAAAGAACAGAGACTGAATTGGCTCTTGGCCCACAGTTCTGCAGGCTGTGCAGGAATCAGGGCACTGGCATCTGCTTCTTGGGAAGCCCCAGGAAGCTTCCAATCACGGTGGAAGGTGAAGGGGGAACAGGCATATCACATGGCCAGAGCAGGAGTGAGAGAGAGGGCCAGGGGAGGTGCCACGCACTTAACCAGATCTCGTGAGAATCAGTCACTACCGTGAGAACAGCACCAAGCCATGAGGGATCTGCCTCCATGAGCCAAACACCTCCCACCAGGGCTCATCTCCAACACTGGGGATTACATTTTAACATGAGACTTGTCAGGGACATATATCTAAACTATGTCAATATATATACAAAAAAATACTGTTGTTGATAATCTAAGTTTTACAAGTGTATAGTCCATTTTCATACTGCTATGAAGAAATACCTAAGACTGCATAATTTGTAAAGAAAGAGAGGTTTAATGGACTCACAGATCCACATGGCTGGGGAGAGCTCACAATCATGGCAGAAGGCAAAGGAGGAGCAAAGGGACGACTTACATGGCAGCAGGCAAGAGAGCATGTGCAGGGGAAACTCCCCTTTATAAAACCATCAGATCTCATGAGACGTATTCACTCTCATGAGAATAGCATGGCAAAAACCCACCCCTATGATTCAATTACCTCCCACTGGGTCCCTCCCACGACTCGTGGGGATTATAGGAGTTATAATTCAGGATGATATTTGGGTGGGGACACAGCCAAACCATATCCACAAGTTACTTTTTTCTCCTTGATTTGTATTAAAGCCCTCAACTCAGAGCAGCCAGTCTGGGCAAACCCTTTCTTCCTTATCTCCTAGCTGACTAGCGAGGCAAGAGCGCAGCGTGACAGGAGGCCTGGCTACTGTGTTCAGAAAGCCAGGCTTACAGGACTACCTATGTTTCTAGATCCTTCTCTTTCAAAGACATGACCATCAGTTGGAAGGAAAAAGAAACACACGCTGCTTGTGGGAGCAGGGAGAAACTGCTTCACAGGTGAGGGGGTTGACTTTGGAGCGATGGAAATGTTTTGGAACTAGATGGAGGTGGGGACCGCACACCGTTGTGATGTTCTAAACGCCACTGAATTGTTCACTTTAAAATGGTTAATTTTATATGAATTTTTTAAAACATTTCCCTCCCTGCTTAGATCTTCCCAGTCCCTGGAAGTGATTCCCAGGCTTTTTCCATCCGTGGCTTTCATCTCCAGCAGCAGCAGGCGGGGGTGGCAGCGAGCAGGGTCCCCAGGTCCTGAGAGAGGTTAGGCACTTGCCCCAGGCTGGAGCCCCCTACCCAGTTCCCCAGACCCCCATGCATGGAAACAGCAGCCCTCCCTGTCCAGCACAGCCCCTGAGCCCCCAGGCCCTGACCCTGGACTGGGGACCTGGAACTCAGAGGTGACTCGCACATGCACCTGCCAGAAGAGGAGAGGAGACACAGGCCTGGCCAGACCCCAGGGAGAGCCTCAGGGAAGGCATGCTGCAGGAGAGGCACTCAGAAAACTGGGAAGGACAGTTGAGGTGCAAGCATAGAGGGAGGAAGGGATGGGCAAGCCAGGAAGAGGGTCAGATGCAAGGGGCCAGGGCCTTGAATGCCAGTCGAGACCCCCATCTTGGAAATCCTGCCCTTCTCTGTCCATTGGAGGCACAGACAGTACTGACAGCCTCTGACTAGGGTGGCCTCCATGGGAGGAGCCCCCCTTCCTCTCTGCCATCCCCAGTACTTCCCAGCCCCCTCATGTCCTGGTGTAATCAGGTCTTTGCACATCACCTTACCACCTTTTTAACACACAGGTTCCCTAGACATACAGTGACATGTAGATAGAAACAACTGACACCAGTGAGAGGCAGTTCTTCACCCCCAAATACTAATAAGGTCTTTAAAACATCAGAGGCAGAAAGCCTGGGGAATGAATGGAGAGTGGGTTCTACAGGGGAGCAAGGAAGGCGTGGTCTCCAGCTTGCGGGTGTGTGCAGAGGCTGAGCTCGTTGAGAAACTCCCCGGCATTGGGTCCCGTGCCTGTGAGCACTCGCTATTTCCGGAGCCTGTGCACAGTACTTGGGCGTGCAGGGAGGACTCTGCTGCGGACCCTGCTGTCTGTCTAGCAGGCAAGAGAAGCCGTGGAAGAGGTGGGTGTGTGCAGAGAGCGGGACGTGTGGACCGTGACGGGTGAAAACAGTGGGCTTCGGGACTTTACTGGGGAGGTCCAGTAGCCTGTACTATCTAGAGCTTTGGGGCCACTGCTGCCTACCTTTGTGACCCCAGCAAGCACCGACTTCTCAGGGCCTCTGCTTCCCAATCTCTAAAATGATCAGAAGTGTTACGAGTGCCCAGCCCAGCTCAGCAGCACTGGGAAGGGCCTGGAAGTCAGGTCGGGCCCACGGTGGCGGGAGCTGGCACACCTCTTCCTGGATATCCGGTGGGACTCTGCCCCTCTCTAGAAGGCTTTGTGGCTCTTCGAGGCTCCTTTATTCATTGCCGAACTTTTTCATCTGTGAAGCATCACACACGCATAGGTGCTCAGAGTTCACGCACAGGTCTGCATGCGGGATGTACTGAACAAGATTGAGGCCCGAATGCGGGACATACTGAATGAGATTGTTTGGGGCCTTCCCCTCACCCCACTTTCTGGGGAAGTGTTGCCTGTTCGGGCCCTTTGTCCCGTCCCTTCTGGCAGCTCACAGCAGGTTGCCAGCACCACCTGAAAAGGCCTCTGACCAGGAGTGTCTGAGTCCGGCAACCACACTAGACAGCATCCCTGCTAAGAAAGGAGGGTGCAGGGAATGCAGCGGCTGCTGCCACCTGTGCTGTGTCTTTTTCTTCATGCTGACCCAAGAAGGTTTCATTTCTTTCCTTCCCTAAAATAAAGCATGAATGAGTTCTATGATGTTTTATTTCTGTATGAACATAGCATGAGCCATTCAGCTTTTCTTGCTGATTGGGAGGATCTGTCCCAAGTTTCTTCTCCTTCTCTTATGTCCTTTCCTCTTGTTTTGTTGCTTTCTGCTTCTACTACTCTTCTTTGTTAGGACTGAGAAAAAAAAAATATGACCACTGAAGGTTCCAGAGAAGTCATCATTCCAGGAGACATTGGGGGAAGCAAAGATTGTCGCTCTCGGGAGCACACTGCCCAATGCTGCCCCCACACTCTACCTGGCTTCCATTCTGCTCACTCCGTTTCTCCCTGAAACCACAATTTACCGCAAAGCCACCACCTCAGGACTTTGGGGCTCCGCATCCCTGCACTCATGACCAGGCCCCGCACAACTACGGTGCATGTTCCCGACTCTTCCCAGACCTAAGGGAGAAGCTGACACTGGAGAGGCCCCTACCACTGTCCCAGCAGCCACATGCTGCCGTGTTGGCTCTGCGAATGCTGGCGTCACATCTCATCCGGTGTGACCTGTTCCTCAACGTGGCAGGATTTCCAGTCCTGGTGTGGCACCAGAGTCCTCCTCTCTGAGGTTGTAATTCGTAGAGAAGTGCTCACTTATGGAGGCACACTCTGGGTCACTTTTGTCCGTGTGCTTTTGATAGTGATCCCCTGGGACAGGGTGGAGGGAGGGGCGGCCACAGAAAAGGAACCACACCCCTGGGCCCCTGGTTTTTCCGTTTGTTGCATCCCCGTTCCATGCCCTTTCTCTCGTGTCCTGTTAAAATTGAGCACACTGGTGAGCCTCAAGTCAGCGCTTGACGCCCTGGATCTGAGCGACTGAGAGTGACAGCCACTGTCGCCCTCACCTGCCAAGCACCCGCTCTGTGCCAGCGCTGGCCAGGCGCCCCACCCACTCCACTTCCGATGCACAGGCACCCTGTCATGTAGGCAGTGCCGTCTTTTTAAACGTAACTTCAGTTTTTCATCTTTTAACTTCAGTTGCTCATCTGCAGTCACCAGCTGAGATTTGAACCCAGCCAATCTGACTCCTAAGCTCCTCTTTCCTCCCACTTAGACTTTTCCCCTGAGCCCAACAGCACCTTAGAGCATATCTAATGCACGTGCCTACTGCCTTCGTCTCAGTGCAGTCTGTCCCCACCAGCTGTGTCACCTTCATCCGGCTGTCAGCCCCTGGTGACTCTCTCGTTACAGATCAGAGACCAGACTCCAGGGGTGGAGAGTGGGGGTTCTAGACCAGCCCCTCTCTGCTCCTAGAGCTCTTGTCTACACAACTGCCTGGTGCTCAGGGGATGACGAGGCGCCTGCCTCTCTCAGCACGTTGTGTCCTGGCAACAAGGGTGGGACCTGTCCTTTTTCATAGCTCCTGCACCCCTGTGCTAGGTGTCACCTGGCTCCATCCAGTGACGGATTCATATTCTCTGTTTCGACATCTTCGGTTGCTGGACAACTAAAAGCCATCTTCAGTACCTTTAATGCCATCTTTTTTTTTTTCTTCTTTTGCAGCAATGGATGGTGTGCCTTTTATGATTTCAGAGAAGTTTTCTTGTGTTCCAGAAAGTGTAAGTGTTATGCATGATCGCCCTTCCCCTCTGCCACCCCCAGCCTGAGGTCCCTCCATCCTGATTTACACAACACGCAGGGCTATTCTGGTGGCACTCATGCTCCTTCCCCCATCGGAATCTTGTCTGCCTGCGTGTCCTCTCTCTCACTGGAAGCTGAACCCCACAACCCAGTGACAGGAACTCCTGAGGTTGGGTCATGTGCATCTCTGGCCCTATCAGCCAGTGCCCCATGTAGTAGATGTTTGAGAAATGAAGAAAACAACAGCTAGGGGATGGGAAAGTAGCAAGAGACTATCAGACAAGCTCAGGTGCACCGAGCCTTTGCCATGCTGCACGTGATTAACCCGACCTGAGCTTCCCTGGTTGTGAATGTTCTTTGTCTCCCAAGTCCAACTTAGTAAGTTTTGTTGTTTGTTATTTAAGGATGACAGTTTCCTGTAGAAAGGAGGCTGCCTCATTTTCCCATTGTCATTGCTGCATTCTGTGCTCTAACATGGGGGCCGCCACGCAAATGTGGTGCCTCTAGCTGTGGTCTCCTGCCCATGCCAGGCCACCATGGACCTCACCATCCACATCAGCACTCTCACACAGGCCAGGCCCACGCCATCTTTATCAAAGGGACCGAGTGAGCTGGCCAGAACCAAAGGCCGACTTCAGACTGTGAGGGGCGGCCACCCTGCATGGCAGTGGGGTTTCTGCCTCTCACTGCTAGGGTCGGCCCTCTGATGACGCCAGCCCCCAAGCTGGCAGTGGCCCCCTCCCAGCTGCACAGGCTTGGCCCAGGCTGGCTCAACAAACCCGTTTCTGGTTTTGATCCTTTCTGCAGAAGTTGGCCTTGAGTAGCTAATAAACATGAAGGCCCCAGCTTGGGCACAGCTAAAGAATCCTTCAGTGTTTTTCTTGGATCCAGCTTAAAACCACCCGGCTTGTGATTTGACCTGCTCTGTAGATTCCATTTTCGTGAAATAGAATAGGCCTCCTCTGAACCCTTCTGGTAAGCAGCTTAATCTTGAAAAATGCTCGTGACGTGACATGCGGAGCTCGAGTAACTTCAGCCGACTCCACAGGGCCGCGTTGCCATGGCGACGCTGGCGCCTCTCCCGCCGTTCCCTGGGAGAGGCTGCTCTGTCCTGCTCACCAGCTCCAGTTGGGAGAATTTAGTGGGGTGGTTAGAGCCTAATGACACAGCAGCTGCACCTCTGCTGGGTCCCGGGCAGCATGGGCAGGCGGCCCCGCTCTCGCGCCCCTCGGGCTGGCAGCACAGAGAGCACCACACTGTTCCGTGGCTACCGGCAGAGCAGCCGCCAGCGAAATGTGTGGCTCGGTGGCCCCGTCCCAAGATCGCCCTCGCGAATGTGCTGCTGCCGCCTCGGCCAGGGCTCCAAGGCCACACAGCCAGGCCCGGTGCCCTGCGCTCCCTGCTCTTCTCAATGCAGTGCCCCGCAGCCCCGCCAGGGGGCTGTCGCTTTGAATGGACGAGGGAATGAGGAAGGGATTTAACCCGCTGCTGCATCGCCAGGAGGCGCTGAGACCGGTTTTGAGTCTGGGTCCTCGGACTCCAAAGCCGGCCTCGCAGGAAACCCCTGCTGGCTTCGTGGAGGCTCCAGCTCCACTCCCACCCCTGGGCTATCGCCCTTCAGGACCATGAGAGCCCTGGGGTTCTGTCGAAGGCCCTCAGGTTTAGCCTGGGCCCCAGGAGGCTGGGCCAGGGACCCCTCTGGGGAACACAGAACACTTACGTGCCCAGCAGGGACTCAGACCAGGAGCCACATGGACTGGACGCCCTCCGCCCTCCGAACCTCTGAGTCCAGGCTTCTGTGGGCCTCCAGCTCACTCACTGCCATGCGTATTTGATTTTTCATGCTGTCTGTTGAAAAGCCAGCATTTTTTTTTAAGTCTCCAATCTTCATGAAATTATAAAAACTCTCATTAAAATGCAATGTTATCACTTTTTACCACATTGATTTCTCAAATGATAATTGATGGGCAGTTGTTTCATTTACCTGGCATTTCCAAAATCCCCCCAGCTCCTGCCCTGGATTCCCCCTAAGGAACTCTTCCTCCCTGGGGTTCCTTAAACCTCCTGCCTTACCCAGACACAGTGGCTGGGTGGCCTCCGGGGAGAGCTTGGGCACCTCCAGTTTACAGCTGCAGCGAGAAAGAGCAAATCTTGCCTTCGTGTTCCGCTAGCAGGGGGAGAAGAGAGGTGAAGCAGGGCAGCCATGGTCAGTTCTCCAGGAGACCTGGACCCCTGTGAGTGCCACCGACCACAGCTAGGCAGAGGTCCCGCTGCACAGGGGCTGGTGCCTTGAGGGCCACATTCCTGCAGCAGGCTGTATTGTCACTTCTGCCACCCCCACGCATGACCGAGAATCCCACTGACTGTCTTCCTGTGGAAAGTGGGTGGAGAAACGCTAGATCACACCATGGCTTGAGACATTAACATTGTCATGCATAAAAGTAAGTGTGGGAAGAGCATTTTCCAGTGATTTAAAAGGGCGACTTCATCTGTATTTTCAGATGCAGCCCTTTGATCTCCTGGGAATCACCATCAAATCTCTAGCAGAAATCGAGAAAGAGGTAAGCAAGCCATCGAGGAGGGGAAGGCAGGCCTGGGCCATCGCCCGCACACCGGCATCTCTCGTGTTCCCCTAGGGACCCACTCCAGGAGAGGGACGGGTGGAGGTGTCCCTTTCTTCTGAGAAAAACACTTTCGTTTCACCCAAATGTGTTCCTTAGATAAAGTAACTTGATTCTAATGTATTTCCTACTTCCAGTCAAATATGACCCACATCTTGTCTTCTCTAAGTCAGAAGGTTTTACATGACAGACGGAGCCTCAGTTCTCCTTTTTTAAAGGGAGTCTCAGCTTTGGGAAGGTGGAGGTTGGAAGACAGGCACCAGGTTGACTTTTCTTCCTCCATTTGTTTTGTTTTATTATTTGCCACCAGGAGGAGTTTCGGGAAATGACCGAGCCTCTCCACGATTTAGGGGCAGGTCAGGGAACCTTCCATTGTGCTTCATAAGCTGGAACGCATCTGGCAGCCTGGCTTCAAACAGTTTGCACATTTTCCTAATAAGAAAGAAACCCAGGACTGGTGTGCGGATGATAACTCTGAGGAAAGGGGGTTGAGTCAGACCACCAGGGCCCTCCTGTTTCCTTAAGACAGCACAGGGTGTGTGGCTTCTCTTCTGTAGAGCGGGTTGTTAAGCAGTCACACGCCACAGCCAGCTCTCCTCCGAGAGGAACATTCATCTCAAAGATGGAAATGGTAGAACCATTTCAATATTCTCCATTCCTTGGGGTTTTCTCTCGTGTACCCAGCTAGCAGAAGCCGGTTGCATTATTGAAAGATGGCTGAAATCAAGCAAAATTGAATCAATGTAGTACAACAAATTTCTAAACCTGTCATAGCAAAAACAAGACAAAAAAGTCCCCCTTTGTCTTTGATTTTCAGTCAATCATAAAAACCAACCTGATTGTCATATATAGATTTTTCTTTTTTTGATAACTCAGGGAAAAAATGGCTGGCTAGGACATTAGAAACATAGGCGTGCATAAAATTTCACGCCTGCCCCTCTCAGAGCAAGGGAGCTGTGGGTGGCTGTGAGGTCCACCTGCTTATGGACGCCCCATTTGCACAGGACCTTGCGTGGGGTGCAGCCCAGGGGATGTGGGCAAGGCCTCAGAGGGGCTGCGGCTGCCACAGGTGGTCACCAGGGCAGAGGTTACACTGACATACCTCCAGACCAGCCCCACTCCACCGTGGACGGGGGCAAGTCCCATCCCCACTGTTGACCCTGGGATCACGGCAGAGCCTGTCTCATGCGGTGCTTTGTAATGCCAAATGGGTATAGGTGGGACGTGCCTGTAGCAAGGGCCCCAGCGTCGGGCCATCTCCCCTCCCATTCTGCACCGGCCTGCCTGTGGGCCTAACAGTGGCACTGTTTAAGCACCTGCTGTGTGCTCAGCCTAGGGCCTGAGGCTTTCCATACATGATCACTGGTTCCTACCCCAGGCCTCATTCCTCCCTGTGTCATGGGGAGAAATGGAGACTCCGAGAGCTGGAGTAACTAACTGGCCCAAGGCAAGATGGAGACCCAGTGCGTCGTGCTCCAAATCCTCTCCACTGTGACGGAAAGTGGTGGCTCTGTGTCCTTCCAAGGGGGCGCTCTAGGCTGGTGGGAAAATGGGGCCTAGGAGGCCAGTCAGCCTAGTTCCTGACCCTGGTGGGCCTTTGAAGTACTGGGGTGGGGGGAAGTGGGTGAGGGTCCCAATGTGGGGCCCAGGGCGTGTGGTGGGAACCTTATTCTCTTCCCCACTCTAAGACTGAAATCTGTGATTCATTACAATGTAGTGTCTCAATGTCAGATGTTCCGAGTCACAGTGTGGCCACCCCTAGGAGGTGCAGAGCTAGGGGCGGGGGCACACCTCGGAGTCAGTGCCTGGCTAGAATTTCAGATCTTCCACTGACTTTTCTGAGCCAACATTTCTTTTTCTGCACAATCAGGATAGTAATAGTGCTTAGTCCAGAGTCTATGTGGGTTTAATTGCAAAGGTCCAGTGAATGGCCTGGACCATTGCCTGCCTCAGTGGCTGCTGGCTGCCACCATTATCACAGCCACCACCGTCACCATCATTACCATTCTCCTTGTCCACAAAGAAGGGCGTGAGTCGGCACAGGCCCACCCATTCCGCTGTCCAACTGCTCTGTTGCTGGGGCCGAAAGTGCCATCCCTATGGACCAAAGCCAGCTGTATTTCTTGGTTTTAGCGATGGGTTTTAAAAAAAAAAACAGGTCTGGGCCAGGTGTGGTGGCTCACGCCTGTAATCCCAGCACTTTGGAAGGCTGAGGCAGGCAGATCACCTGAGGTCAGGAGTTTGAGACCAGCCTGGCCAACATGGTAAAACCTCGTCTCTACTAAAAATACAAAAAAAAAAAAAAAAAAAAAAAAGCCAGGCGTGCATGGTGAAGCACATCTGTAGTCCCAGCTATTCAGGAGGCTAAAGCAGGAGAATCACTTGAGCCCAGGATGCGGAGGTTGCAGTGAGCCAGGATTGCACCATTGCACTCCAACCTGAGCGACAGAGTGAGACTCCATCTCAAAAAAAAATAACAAAACAGGTCTGTATTTGCTATTAAAGTAAATTAAAGTCGATGTAAAGAAACGTGGGGAGTGGGGAGAGGTTAGAACCTTAAAACAGGGTAGAAAGCCGTAACAAGTATCGCCGCAGTCGAGAGCACCACAGAGTTTTTCATTTCACTTGAGGATTTAAAAGTTCCTTATGCCACCCATTCATGTGCACAGCCATTCGTGTAACGTTGATGTCCACACACTCTGGCCAGCTGGCTCCTTCCGCAGCCGTGGCAGAGGCTTTTCTCCGTAAATAAACCTGAAGTTGCTTCTTTTAGCCACTGAACTCAGCATTGCTCGTGGGAGTTGGGGGCTCAAGGAGAAGTGGTACCCGGAACCAAGCGATTGGCTGTCACTCTTGGGTTCTGCGAGTTTGGCCCTGGAGTGGGCTTAGTGTCCCCTGGGTCGAGATGAGTTTGATTTTGTGCCTTTCATTTATAACAGGTCTGGCTGCCCTTGATGAGGAGCCCGGGGGTGGAGAAGTCTCTGCTCAGAAATTTGCTTTGTTCACTGTAAACCTTGGTGTTTTATACCATTAAATTAAAAAAAAAAATAGAGCAAATATAAGTGGGAGACTGCTTTCAGGTTCAGGGGCATAGACCTTTGACCACGCTCCCACTTGTCCAGAACAGCTCCCCAGGCTCACCTGGGATTCCCAAACAGGGTGGCGAGCCCAGCCTCCAGGGAGAGGCTGCTCTGTACCGGGCAGGTGCTGCCCTTCACAATCCCTCTGAACCCCGTGGGAGGAAGTGGGGTCCACCCATTTACAGAAGTCTGGACCCAAGAAGTTAAGTGATTGGCCAGCCTCCCACAGCAGCAACGCAGAGCTGAGCAGTGGGGCTGAGTGTGACCTGGCTGAATACATGACCGTCTTTATCTACTACAGAGTGGTCCCAACTTGAAGGGAAATAGAAGTGTGAGCTCTGAGGCAGCACTGTCCTCTCCTCCCAGAACTGCAGCCAGTGTCCCTCCTGCCAGTGTTAACTGTCCTCACCATGCTCTGCCTGGGGGATGTTTCTGAATTGAAGCCCAAACACAGTTGCCACCATTCAGCTTCAGGGACGGCCACCCTCCAACAAACCGTGTGACCCTGTGCACTCTGAGCATGGAGGTTAGGAACATGGGCAGCCAAAGGGAGCTCCCCAGAGCCAGCCAAGCACAGCTGCCCCCACCCCCACAAGGACACAGATGGCCTGGCCCAGGAGCTGCCCAGCACTGATTGACAAATGGGGTATCACCTGGTTAGGGGTGGGCAGTGTCCCTCAGCCCCCAGCATCCTGAGGGGCCCCAGGGAGCATGCACTGCTGGGCCCGCACAGCCAGGCTGCCCTGGAGAACTGGAAGGGGAGAGCTCATTCAGATGCTGGTGTCTGCAGGGACCCTCGTGGGCTGTGTAGACGGTGGACAGGACACAGCCTCCCAATGTGGATGCCTGGGGTAGGGGACAAATCTGCCGTATAGGTTTAGCTCTGGGGCAAGTTCCCAGGCCCCCTCACCCCCAAAGTGGAGCACAGGCCTGCTCATCCCAGCCCAGCGTGCAGCATGGCGCAGTGGTCAGGGCACCCGGCAGCTGGTGGAGCGTGGTTAGAGGTGGCTGCTCTGCTCTTCACCAGGGTCTCCCCAGGAGTCGTGGTACCTGATGCGCTTGGGTGAAATTTCACCAAAAACGCCCAAGGACGGTCATGTTTTAAAGTTAAAATCAATATATGAGCCATTGAGCAAATTTTGAAGAAAGGATTTTTTGAAAGACAAAAAACCTTCCATGATTCGGACTTGCTCCGTGATGGCGTGGGTGGCTAAAAGTGAAGGAAGCCATAATTCATAGAGAAATTCCAACTCAAACGCCATCACCCTGCTGGCTCCCCGTGACAGAGCAGCGGCCTCCTGCCTGGCCATCTTCCAGCGGCCCTGTGCTCCTGCCACCTCTGTCACCTCGCACCCAGAGCAGGGGCTTTGCCGTCCTCCCAGGGCCTGCATACATGAGTCCCAGGCATGAGGAAGTGAATTTTTACCTCATCTTCCCTCAGCCAGGGAGGTGACCAGGGGCTGGTCAGTACCAGCCTCGTGGCCACTGTGGGCAGTTTTCTGGTCCCGGCCCCACCTGTCCATGCCTTGTCCCCTCCCCTCCGGTTTAGCTCTGCAGGAGGGCAGTGGGTGACCCGGTGGGGCTGTTGTCCCCGTGAAGCCCTTACTGTTCTCCAGACAAAGAGCTGTCTGTGTCCCGGAGCCTGGAAAGTGTAATTTCGCAGCCAGCGCCCATGATGAAGCATCTTCTCTGGGCGTGAGGAGATGGGCGTATAAATATTCTCTGTCTCTGCCGCTCTTTATTTCCCTGGTAAGCAGTTGCCCCATTTCTCCAGCTGACGGATTCCCCATCGCAACCGGGGTGGGAGCTGCCTGGCTCTGCAGTCCAGGCAGCAGCTTCTAAAATAATCCTCATGTCTTG